GCAAAGGATTCAGCACCATCGACCATATCCACACAATAACCAAGCTCATTGAGGTTTCTCGGGAGTTCAAGATGCCGCTCTGTTTAACATTCATTGATTTAAAGAAGGCCTTTGATTCTGTTGAGATGGAAGCGGTCATTGAAGCCCTAGCCAATCAGGGCATTCAAGCCCAATACATCAGGATCCTCCGTGAGCTTTATTGCGGATTCACTACCAGGATCTCACCATTCTACAAAGAAGTGATTGTTGATGTCAAGAGAGGAGTGTGGCAGGGTGATACCATTTCACCGAAACTCTTCAGTGCCACCCTCGAGAACATCATGCGACGACTGGAATGGGAAGGAATGTGAGTGAAGACAGATGGTCGCAACTACACCACCTTCGCTTTGCTGATGACATTGTTTTAATAACACCAAACATCAGCCAAGTGGCACAAAAGCTGGCCGACTTTGACCGTGAGTGTGGAAAGGTAGGACTATAGCTGAATCTTACAAAGACAATGTTTATGAGAAACAGCCTTGTTCCTGATGCCCCATTCGCTCTCAATGGAATGACCATCTCCGAATGCAACAGCTATGTGTACCTAGGTCGAGAGGTCAACATGACAAATGACCTGGCACCCGAGCTGCGCAGGAGGAAGAGAGCGACTTGGAATGCCTTCAAGAACGTCGAAGAAATAGCTAAGAGGACGAAGAACCTCCGGCTCCGGGCGCATCTCTTTGATTCCACTGTTCCTCCTGCATTAACATATGCCTCAGAGACCTGGGCCCTTCGCAAACAAGATGAGAACACTATTCAGGTCTCCCAAAGAAGAATAGAAAGAGCTATGCTTGGAATATCACGTTTCACTCAAATGAGAGAAAGAATCTGGAGTTCTGACATCCGTCGACGATCAAGGATCAGGGATGCTGTCTCATTTGCCAAGGTGTCGAAAATCAGATGGGCTCGTCACGTAATGAGATTTAAAGACGACCGCTGGACTAGAGCTGTTACCGACTGGATTCCACGGGATGTCAAAAGACCGCGTGGCTGCCTACCTACCAGATGGTCAGACTTCTTCGTCAAGATCATGAATGATCGATTTGAGGCCCTTCATGTTCCCAGAGCGAACAGATGCCATCGGGCTACACTAGCACGCGACAGGGACAAATGGAGACGTTACCGGCGCCCGCTCGAGCAAATCGACCACTAACGGGAAGTTAAGTGATTAAGTGATTAAGTTTTATTTACTTTTCAATGACCTTTTATATTTTATTTTATTTGGTGGGGGGGTTGGGGGAGTCACACCTGGCACCGTTCAGGGGTTACTCTAGCTCTGTACTCGGGGATGCTATCAGGAGTGGCTTGGGGGACCAAGTGGGATACCAGGGATTGACCCTGGGTCAGCCGTGTGTAAGGTAAGTGCCCTCCCCGCTGTATATTGCTCAGGCCTATCAATGGGCTCTGAAAGTCATTCACTCGTGATAAACCAGTGACACTGATCTACAGCTTTCTAGAATTCCAGTGGTTCTGTCTCACACCTCTTATGGCTCCCATCTCCAGCGGTGCCTCTTCTGGTCCCTTCCATCACCCGCTCTATCTCCTGTCAATGCTGCAGGGCTGGGGAAGCCACTGGGATGCCCTGGCAGACGCTGGGGCTCCTGTCGCCTGTATTCTTAACTCGTTGTGCATTTATTTAGTTTACATCATTTATGGAGATACTGGGATTATACTACTATTAATCCCACTTTTCATGCATGCATCATTCCAACACCAGACCCCTCATCAGAGAGCCCACTTCCCTCCATCTGTACTCCAAGCACCTTTCTTTCCACGACCCCCTGCCCCCCGTCCCGCACCCTGCCAGTTTGCTTGACAAAAATCTTCAGTAAATCTGGCCATTCATTTTTATTTTACTCTGAGTCTAAACATTTGTTTTATTTACGATGTTTATTTTTTGTTATCCCATATATAGAGAATCTCTCTTTCTCTCTCTCTCTCTCTCTTTCCTTTCTCTTCTCTCTCTCTGTTTCCCTGTGGCTATTACGATATTTGTTTTTCTTCTCCAGTTGCATCACAATGTATCTGGGTTTTTGTTTAAATTTATCCTGCTTATGATTTGAATTCTTAAGTCTGTATAATCATTTTTTATCTCAAACATTTTTATCTCAAAAATGATTGTCTGTATATCTCAAACATCATCTTTTAAAATATATCTGCCTTCCCCCCCTTGTGAAAATGTTAATTAAATACTGGTCTTTTCATGTCTCCTACTCTTAACTTCTCTTTCTTGTCTTATTGTATTTACCCCATATCTATTGATTGCTATTTGATAATTGTATTTCAACTCTTGTGCTTTTTCTAATATATTGTTAAAACTTTATGAAGTTTTTTTTTTTTTTTTTTTTTTTTTTTTTTTTTTTTTGCTTTTTGGGTCAGACCCAGTGTTGCACAGGGGTTACTCCTGGCTCTGCACTAAAGAATTACTCCTGATGGCGATGCTCGGGACCATATAGGATGCTGGGAATCGAACCCGGGTCAGCCACATGCAAGGCAAATGTCCTACCTGCTGTGCTATCGCTCCAGCCCAAAAACTTTATGAAGTTTAGAAAAAAGTTGAGGTTTTTATTTTGACCATTTCATTTTCAGAATTTATACAGTTTTCTAATTCTTGTTGTCGGAAGGATTACTTTTCTATTTCTAGTATATATATTTGTCTCATTTGTCTTTAATTATATCTGAAAAAGCCATATACTTAAAAATTGGTTATTTTACTGATATTTGTGTTTTTCTTTCCATTTATTGTATTTCTTGCTTTGTGATTTATATTTATTGCGGTTTCCCATGGTCCTTGGCCAGTTATCTACAAAGGTGCTTTGAGGCTAAGGTGAGGATGGCTTTCTCAGGACAGATCCAGTCATGCCAGGCTGGCCATCCTCTGGCCCTAGGACTGTGCTCCTGAGGGTCAGACAGAGTCTGGACCTGGGCTCAGCTCACACGACCACAGACAGCAGGGATCCCCCCCCCCCCCTTTTCTGTTACTCTTTTCAACTTCATTTAATTCCAGGGTAACCTTCTCTGCAGATCATGGGGAAAGGGTAGAGATCTTAGGTTTATTTTTAATTAGCTTTTTAAGATACTGGATCTTACAGTCCCATCCACCATGGCTTCTGGGTTTTAGTTCTGTTCTTCTTGATAATAGACAGACAAACAGCCTCAGGATGAAGCTAACATTGATGAAAGGAATAATAAACTTTTCTGAAAGGGATGTGATAGTATTTCAAGATTTTAAGAACATGTCCTCTCTCTTCAAACTAATCCCTGTCATTGTAGCACAAAAGCTTATGTAGACACTCCCAAGCAAATAATTGGGCTGGGTTTTGTAAGAATTCACTCACAAAACAGCCTTCGGCTGTATTTGGTCTCTGACATAGTTCTCTGCTTATTTGAATTTCCTTTTTTTTTTTTCAGGTTTTACCTGGTTATTTTCTTACTACTTTGAGTATGTTAATACTTGTAAGGAGGTAAATTTTACATTTTAAAGCAAAAACTTTTATTGGAAGAGCGAGAGTTCCTGATGATACATTAGGTATATTTATTTAGGAGAATGTTCCTACTTTCATTTAGGACAAGCTTGATGATGAGCATTTAGATATACTTTATGACTAGGTCATATAATCACATTAAAGATCTATTTTAAGTCACTAATAAAATCTTCTTTGAAAGATTCATATTGAATACAGAGTAGGATTTTTTTCCCCATCATTTTCTTAGTTTGTGGAGGAAATCATTCTGGGTAACATTTACGCCAATTTTCCAGGACTGATGTTCCTAATACCTCACCTAATGATGTTCAAAGTGTTTGCTCCTTCTTATAGAGAGCACAGATGTATACCACCTTTGTCTTCAAATTGCTTATCATATAAATGGGTAGCACTGTAGCACTGTTCTCCCGTTGTTCATCGATTTTGCTCGAGTGGGCAACAGTAACATTTCCATTGTGAGACTTCTAGAAGGACATATTCTATGAGTTTGAGAGAAATGATTATCCCTCAGGACTTGCTTGATCAGGCAGTTTTATAGAAAAATTACTTCTGTATATACTTATTGAATACCTCAGCTGCACAAGGTTTGCTTAGTTTGTTGACTACACAGCTTAATACAAAGGTATCCAGGGAATTTGAATATAATTTGTTGTTATTGTCACTTGGAAAGCATAGCAAAGTGGTAGGGCATTTGCCTTGCACGCAGCCAACATGGCCGACCCGAGTTCGATTCCTCCACCCTTCTCGGAGAGCCCGGCAAGCTACCGAGAGTATTGCGCCCGCACGGCAGAGCCTGGCAAGCTACCCGTGACGTATTCAGTATGCCAAACACAGTAACAACAAAGTCTCCAATGGAGACGTTACTGGGCCTGCTCAAGCAAATCGATGAACAACAGTGACAGTGAAGTGACAGTGAAGTGAAGAGAAGAAAGCTGAGTTACACATAGTAGTTTAGAATATCATAATAATGTGCTTGGAATCTTTAGGAATGCATAGTCTGAAACAGCTTCCTGCCAGGTAGCCAGGCAGATGTGATCTGAGCAAGGATTCCCAGCATGTACTGTTATGTGCCTTTTCTGTATGCCTACTCTATGAGTGAGATAATTTTATTTGATACCTGTCTTTCTTTCTTACTATGCTAAGGAGAAAACTTTTTCTGCCTTCTGAATTTAAAAAGCATAAAGTCTTGGAACACCTTTTGCTATATACATAATCTGCAATGCTCCAGTTTGACTGCAGTTAAATGCGTGACCGCACTCAGTCTGTGTGGTCAGAGAGAGGTCCCATATGTGAATGCGAGAAGGAATCAAGCCCTTGTTGCCAGGATGGTTTTACCTTTATATACGCGTGTTCCATACTTTGCTTGTTATTAAGTTTATTTAACATAGATATGAACTGTTTATCGTTGGTGAAGTAGATTGCAAACTTTATAGGTAGCATGAATATGTTGTATTAAACATTTAAATTCTTCTTCAGCTACCAGCCGATAGTTGATTACATTGATGCTCAGTTTGAAGCCTATCTCCAGGAAGAATTGAGAATTAAGCGTTCTCTCTTTAACTACCATGATTCTCGTGTCCACGTGTGCCTCTACTTCATTGCCCCTACAGGGCACTCTCTGAAGAGCTTGGATCTCCTAACCATGAAGAGCCTAGATAGCAAGGTGGTTTGGAAAATTCAACTTATTACTCTTTAATATTTTTGAAACTACTAAAATACTTTTATAATGTATTGCATATATATGTGTGTATGTAGAAGCATGTACATTTCAAAAGCAATTAGTAAGCTCCAAATTGGGTTCTTTTCCAGTGAAACTCAATTTGGAAGATGAGATACAAAGAGAAAATATTAACATCAATTTTAATCTTTCTTAATAGCTTGCTTTTGAGAATATAGCTATTTATTTTTTAAGATAGTGTATTTGACACTAGTTTTATTTATGATACTATTAAGGAGAAGTTCACCGACAAAGATTAAGGTGCACTATCTACTATATAGTAAATTATGTTTCAATTTGGGACATATCAATATAAACACCTGCTTTGAATTTCTGAGCCAAATAACTAGGTATAAATATAAGGTATTTAAAAATTATGATTCCTAATGGAGACATCAAACTAATTCAGTTTAGATTTTTCAAATTTGTAGTAATGTCTAAAAACCACCATCTTACTAAAAACAAATCAGTAGCGTTTTTCTACAACCTCTGTGTGGGGAATGGAACTTTTGTTGTCCTAGCCAATCATTTAATGAGATTAGATTCATGGCGGTAAGGTACATGGATATGTGGGCGGTAAGGCCATACTGTTTTCTATATAGAGAAAATGGTATGAAGAACAGACTGACAAGTTGCATAATCCCCTAGTTTTGGCAATAGCTTTCATAAGGGTATAGAAGTCTATTTTAGGTGTTTTAATCATTTAATCAGGTATTTTAATCATTTAGGTATATATGTTTTTGTTGCTTGATTATATGGAAATGAATATTTTTAAGGGAATAAAAATAAGATCTCAAGTTTTTGTTGGAAGCAACATGATATCCTTTACACAAAGAGTTCCATGTCAGTGGGAAAAGGTTTTAAATACTGTCTTTTAAAAGGTGTCCTTGGGCAAGTTTCTACAGTAAGGAACCTCAGTTTCCTTAACTTTGAAATAAAGTCTAGACAAAATACTTAAGAGGCAGGTTGAAGACTATGATATTGATAGCTTGCCTTTAATTTTGAAAAGCGATCATTCTCCTGCTTGATATAGAAAGTTTCCTTCTACAAATAATGGGTTATCATTATGAGAAGTATCTGTTGCTTTCCCTCCCTTTTTATATAAATAGGATAGCACGGCGGTAGGGTGTTTGCCTTGCATGCAGCCAACATGGCCGACCTGAGTTCAATTCCTCCGCCCCTCTCGGAGAGCCCAGCAAGCTACCAAGAGTATCTCGCCCACACGGCAGAGCCTGGCAAGCTCCCCATGACGTATTTGATATGTCAGACACAGTAACAACAAAGTCTCCAATGGAGACGTTACTGGGCCCTCTCGAGCAAATTGATGAACAACGGGAGGACAGTGACAGTGACAGGCATCATATTTAGCATTCTGTTTGTGTGTTTTCCAAGCTTACTAGCTTACTGGCAGTGATATTGTAGTTAAGTATATGTGAGTACTTGCTAGCATCTGTTTTTTTGGAGGACCCCCAATATACATTCCTTTCTACACATTCTCCCAACACGACCAGGATCAGTGTCTTACTTGGCTGATAACCCTTTTAGTTTTAACTGTGAGCGTGAATGTACTTCGGCAAGAGGCTGGAGAAAGCAGTATATATGGCATTCAGTACTCCCTGTGCCTACCGTCCACTGGGGAATAGAATGTGTCTTGGAATGTATTCCTTGAGGATAACTACTATAGTTAGAAAAGTCTTCACATTCTTTGGAATATATGTAAGATGTGTATATCTAATTATATATAGCAAATGAAGGAAATTGGAGAAATAAATTTAAGACTAGAATAGGCACTATGACTTTTACTTTTCACTTTAATTCTAAAAATTATGTGGAACTCTGAACTCATATGACTTGTTAGCCTCAAATTTTTCACTAATGTGGATACATCAGTCTTTTGTTAGGTCACCAATATTTCTCCTTTCTTTTTAAGTTTCTATTGACGATTAACTAGTCTCTTTTTAATTGATATGATTTGCATATGCTTATGCCTCTGCTTCATCTTACCAGAGACACTATTGGAAATACTTGAGTATGGCTCTGTAACCTATAGGCTTCAGGTATATAACTTATACAGCATAATAAATAAGCATCTGAGTATATTAAATTATGTTTAATATATAAATCATACAGAATTATAAATAATCATCTGAATATATTAATTATATTTAATATATAACTTATACAACATTGTAAGTAAGCATCTGAATGTATTAAATTATGTCTATATTATAAAAGTTTCACTTTCACCAAATAGTTGACTCCTTTTATCCAGTTTGCCTAACCCTTAACATTAACCTTAAAGAACTAATTTTATAAGATTGACTGTCTTCATGACCTTGAATAATTTCCTTTCTAAAGTGGTAAAGCTTTAAATAATACAAAGAAAGTTATTTCTTGAGTCATGAAAACGTTACTGTTTGAAGACTTTTGTCTCTTTTACATCTTGGTAGAGTTTCTAATAGGGGGTGCAAATTGATTCAGGGAGGTAAGAAACGAAGGGAAGGCAGAAGGAAAAGAAAAACTTCACTTTTTTATAGTTTTTATAAGGAATCAATTGTTCTAGTTATTTAGTACTTAGCTTATTAGGAAATTAAACATTCTAAGAGAATTAACCTGGTAGTTTAGATTTGCCTCTTAAATTTACTTTTGTTTAATGATAGAATTCTAGGAGACATTGAGAGAAGAAATTGAAATTTCTTGATCTAAATTAAAATAAAAGATTAATATTATAAGAACTCTGTTTTTAAACGCAGTTATTGAAAGACCAGCATCTGTCAGAATGATTGTATAGGGTCAGTGGACTATGATAAGAATGAAACTGATTAACCGGGTTGTGACGTGACAAGCTTTTTGTGAAAGAGTTCAGGTAGTAAAGCTTTCAGGTTGTGTGGTCCCTTATAGAAATACTTACATTTGCTATTGCAGCATGAAAGTATTTATAAATAGCATAGAAATGTATTGGTTTGTCTGTGTTCTGGTACATCTTTACTTGAATAGACAATAATATATAATACATTGCATATCTCCTGATCTATTTAAAGAAATTTGTCAGAGACTGAGTTATTTTGAATATAGAAGTTCCAGGATCAAAAACAAACACACAATTCAAAGAGTCATGACCTTTTGTTTTTTCTTTATTCTGAATAGGTGAACATTATACCAGTAATTGCCAAAGCAGATGCGATTTCTAAAACTGAGTTGCAGAAGTTTAAGATCAAGCTCATGAGTGAATTGGTCAGCAGTGGTGTTCAGATATACCAGTTCCCAACAGATGATGAAACTATTGCTAAAATCAATGCTTCAATGAATGTAAGCTTCTAGATAAATACCATTTTACACATTAAACAAATAACTGATAAGTAACATGCTGCTAGTATATTTCCACTGTGTCTCTTACGAGGCTTCTTACAAGGTAAGTTTTAAGAAGTCAGATATAGAAAGATGTTTTAATTTTTCATTTCATGTCTACTATAATAGACAGATATAGCAGCATGTCATTCATAACTGTCAACTGATAAAACAAGCCATAGTGAAAAAAAAACTTTAAAAATCCATATTTTGCATGGTTCCCTTTAAATTGACATGATTGGAATAGGGAAAGCTGTAGATTAATTATAGATTAACGAGTAGATTAATAACTGATTATGTGTATGTGGGGGGGGGTGGAATCAGTATACAGATTCACACTACCGATGCAGAATTTGTTTTTCTGGGTTGGACCCACACCTGGCCACACTTGGACTCACCCTGGCGCTAGGAATCCAACTTGATTCTTGTGTATGCAAGGCATGAGCCCCACTGCCGTTGCATTGCTTTAGCTCTTGAAAGGGATTTTTATTTATTTGATTTACTTGAGGTGACATTGTTTTACAATGAATATGTTTTAGTGGGACAGATTCTCTTTTCAAATATACGTTACCACACTATGTCCACCGCCAAAATGCTAGCAGCTGTCCCTTTGCCACCCCATTCATTCTCCACTGATAACTTCAGTTCCACTGTCAGGATGCAAAGGTTTGATTCTGTATTGTCAGTTTGCTTAGTTTTCTCATTATAGTCTACATATCAGTAAAATTTCTTTCTCTTACCTTACCTCATATATAGCGTAGTATCTCACATATGAGAGATGCTCAAATAATTTTCTACATAGGGCCTGTAGATGACTTGTTTAACAGTATATGTTCACTTCAGATTTAAATTCTGGGGCATGAAAAATAATTTGATTTTAATAAATTTATTTGATAAGTTCTCTTATAATTATAAAACCCTTTTAGCCATTATTATTTCAGTGGTGTGAGATGTGATTGACGGGTTCTTCCACAGGGACATTTGCCATTCGCTGTTGTAGGGAGTATGGATGAAGTACAAATTGGAAATAAGATGGTCAAAGCTCGCCAGTACCCTTGGGGTGTTGTTCAAGGTAAATGAAACAAACAAAGGTTTGAAATAGAATATTGCCTAGTAAGTTTGGAAATTATATTTAATGCATTCTTTAAGGTTATGCTTATTTTGGATTGTGATTGGTTGCTAGATGTTCTATTTTAGCCCAATCCATAAAGTCTGGACAAATCTCTCCATTTTCTACATTATACCTTAGCTCATTGCTTACATGTTAGATTACTTGCCTGGATATACAAAAATATTCAGAAGGTGGGAAGTACTGTTCAAGCACTAAGAATAAAAATTGAGAATAAGTTGTAGTGTCTAAATGTGAATTTTTAAGCCAATTACTGGGTAATTTTAGGGCCCTTTAAATCATCACATAAATTGTATGTTTTTATTCATCAAAATATTGCCAATTATTTCTAAAACAAACCAGTCATCAAAATGAGAGATTTCAGTAGCTTTTATCTAGCTTTCTAATGAAACACAGCTGGACCAGGTATTGTGGTCCTGCCTCTGAAGATTTAGCCTGTCTGAAGATCTAGACTGTGTATTTGGTTTCCCGTGGCTGCACTTGTACTGAACTCTCATTTCCCCTAGACATAATCATTGAATAGTACACTATTACAATCATATATATGGCATTTACATTGTATTTTATAAAGTAAGAGATTATTATTAAATCAGGAAAACATAGGAAGATAATTTTGGTGTTGTGAGAGTACAGGAACCAATCCTGAAAGATATTTAATTATTATAGTATCTGGTTCAGTTGTTTGCTAGTGTTAATTAATTTGAAATAAATTTACTCCTGCTATCACTTTTTTCTAAATAGTAATTTTATAAGTTGTCAGATTTTATAGTTAATGACAGATGATCAAAAACAGAAGATGTATAACTTTTCTTATGAGTTACTAATTTTGGGAGATGTCTGCACAGGTTCATAAATGTGGCATCGTGTAAAAAATTGATTGTTTATAGTAAGTACAGATGGTATTTCTTGAGTGTGTAGAATTTATTCCATTGAAGCTTTAGTGAAACGACGTTAATTCCTCTAAGCACTTGAGCGAGTGGAAAATGTTTGGGGGACAGTTTGTAAGAAAAGATTAGTGAAGTAACTTCATTCTGTCATTATATGAAATAGTGCATTTCGTCCTATTTTCTTTTTTGTCTTTGGGCACTAAATTGAAAGCAGATATTCTAGTTGGCTCATTGTCTCTAGTTGAGTGTTAGGTTTATTCTGTACAAAAATCCTGGTCTCCTGTAAGCATCAGACATACAGATGCTAATCCGACGCCCTTCTGCCGTTTGATTATCTTAAATACGCTCCAATTTAGTCATCCAGAGACCCTGCCCTGGCTGGGGTCTGACTTGGCCTTCTGTCCCTTGCGCCCGCAGTGGAGAATGAGGACCACTGCGACTTCGTCAAGCTGCGGGAGATGCTCATCTGCACGAACATGGAGGACCTGCGCGAGCAGACCCACACGCTCCACTACGAGCGCTACCGGCGCTGCCGGCTGGAGCAGATGGGCTACCCGGACGCCCCCGAGAGCCCGCCGGCCAGGTAGGGGGTTGGGCATATGGGCTTCCTGAACGCCCCAGAGCAGGCCCACCAGGTAGGGGAGGCGGCCGCAGGGACCTCGCAGATGGGGACTAGGATGCTTCTATTATGTTGATTTACTATTTTTGTTATTGGGCTTCTTTAATATTGTGACACTTCCTTGCTTTTGAAGGATTTCTAAATCTGACTCTGATTTAAGGAGTTAGCTAGAAGACCATGAGCAAAACCCACTACTCTCATTTCATGCTGAAATGGAAAACTTGAAATTATTCACATATTTGTTTTATTATTGAATTTATAAAAATATATAAAAAGATGAAAGTATATTTATTATAAAAGGAAACTGGGTGTTTAATTTATATGTAATTCTATATTATATATAATTCTACATAATATATTAAGTGATTATATATAATTCTATATAATAATTAGGGCTGGAGCCATAGCACAGCGGTAGGGCGTTTGCCTTGCACGCAGCCAACATGGCCGACCCGAGTTCGATTCCTCCGCCCCTCTCGGAGAGCCCGGCAAGCTACTGAGAGTATCTCGCCCGCACGGCAGAGCTGGCAAGCTCCCCATGATGTATTCGATATGCCAAACACAGTAACAACAAAGTCTCCAATGGAGACGTTACTGGGCCCGCTCGAGCAAATCGACGAACAACGGGAGGGCCTATATAATATATAATATATCATATATAGGGAGAATATTCTATATAACATATAATACATAATATATAATTATATGATATACAATATATATAAATTATATATAATATATTATATGTAATATATTATATATAATTCTATATAACAAATAAATTATATATAAATTAATTTATATATAAATTATATATTTATAATATATATTTATTATAAAAGGCACTGTTAGCACTGTCCTCCCATTGTTCATTGACTCATTTGAGCGGGCACCAGTAACTCCATTGTGAAACTTGTTACTGTTTTTGGCATATGGAATACACAACTGGGAGCTTGCCAGCCTTTGCCATGGAGACGAGATGTTCTCAGTAGCTTGTTGGGCTCTCTGAGAGGGGCGGGGGGAATCGAACCCGGGTCAGCTGCGTGCAAGGCAAACGCCCTACTAAACAGCAAAACTGATAATTTCATTCTGATAAAAAGTTTGAAATGATTTAAATCTAGGGGCGAAATCTTAATAGAGGAAGGATAAAAGAAGTAAAGAGATAATACTGTTTCTTATAAGAAGAAAGAGATTAGTCCAATTCTTATTATATTATAGTGCAGTTTATAACAGCTTTAGAATCCAAGAATCTTACTGCTCAGTATTTGAAACTTGTGTTATTATAAACCTTCCTTTTCTTAAATTAAGACATGTAAATATGAGATTTAACTCTTTAATGTATTAAAGCAAATTTGTTTTGATGTGACCCTCTAGAGAACTTTTTCGATGGGGAAAAGCATATAGCGGAGACAAACATTATTTTATTTTTTGTTGAATCACTGTTTGATTGGGTTTCAGTCTTACAATGTTACAACACCCATTTCTTTACCAGTGTACATTTCCCAGCTCAGCTTTGGGGATGAAAAGGAAGAGGCAGAGAGGCTCTGAGCTCAATCCTTTTTTTAAGATGAAAAGTGTACAGATATTTTTCCCCCAATCTGTGGGGTATTTTTATTCTTATCATTATTGTAGAGCACAAACGTTTCAGGAGCTCATTAATTTGATACAGTCTTATTTATCTTTGTTTCCATTTCTGTGATCGGTGGCACTGAATCATTTAAAATACGTCTAGATTCAATGTCAGAAAGGTTCTGACTGTGTTTTTCTTAACACTTTTTTTAATTTATGGATTCAGGTATGGTATTAAGGTCTTTAGTTCATTTTGAAATTTTTTGTGCATGGTATGGAAAAGAGTTTGAGCTTAGATTTTGCTGCAACTGATCAGATTTCCCAACAGATTGTTGGAGGAAGGTTTCCTGTTCCACTTCATACTCATTGCTCCTTTGCCATAGGATGGCTTTCTGTATATCTAGGGATCTTTCTTTGAGCTCTCCATTAATTCTGTTTCATTGATCTGAGTCTTTTTTTTATTCTGCTACCACACTATCTTGATGAATGTGGCTTTATAGTGGAATTTTAAGTGGGGGAATGAGAAGACTCCCATCTTTTCTTTTCTTAGAATTGCTTTGGCAATTCTTGGGGAGTTACTCTATATAAAATCCAACTACATTTGATCTGTGTTTATGAATGTGTGTTCACAAAAGTGTGTGAGCAATCACCATATGCATTCCGTTACCATGAGCCACCTCCCCATCCTGACTGGCTGCCACTGTGAATGGACACACAAAGGAGAGGACAGGGTCACCAAGGTGGTTGATTATCAGTCACCATTTATTCCAGTCTCCGTCCTGCCATTTATTCCATTCTCCCCTCACACTAGTCTCCCCACACCCAATCATACAGCCTTACTTAAGAGCCCAACCTCCAAGGTTGGGGGTAGCAACTACACATAGGTAATATAGCACAATCGACATGTGTAAAACCCTTTCAGGGAAGCTTCTTCCAAGACAAAGAACTCATCCTGCTAGGATATCTGCTCATGAGTTAGATTTCATGTAGGGGCTTATTTCTCATTTCCTTCATATCCATTTAAACGGTCATCTTAAATTTGCTTCTTAATAATCTTTCTAAGTCATTTGTATGGACACAGTAGGAGATATATTAAGCTTAGAGGGTGGCTCTCCTAGGAATATCTCGCTTAGATCCTAGACTACAGTCCTCAGGCCAGATTAGTCCTTCCTAACCCTAGCAGGTCCTTGTCTAGTCACTTCTCTTTGAATCATGACAGAATTTGTCCACAACCTTGCTCTGAACTTACTATAAGTTTTTTGGCACTTGGGCTGTCCCGTTTCAATGCCAAGGTAACTTGCAGCTTGCCCTGGGTCCATCCAAGTCCCTTCATTGGACCCTCCTTTTGGGTTGCTAGGAACTAAGGGCAACTTAGACTCCATTCGAGTAAATATGACAGATGTCCAGGAGTAAATATTATTCGAAGCCAATTAACTATCGAGTTACAAAAGCAGAATTAACTGTCTTCCTGTTTCTATACTAAAAGAACATTGGTCTAAAGTATACTGTGCAAAGGACATATGAGAAAGAGAAAAGCATATTTAATATTTCACTTGATAACTTGATCACTTGACTTCCCGTTAATCATCAATTTGCTCGAGCGGGCACCAGTAATGTCTCCATTTGTCCCTGTCGCGTGCTAGTGTAGCACAATGGCATCTGTTTGTTCTATGAGCACAAAGAGCCTCAATCTGATCGTTCAGGATGTCGATAAAGAAGTCTGACCATCTGGTAGGTGGGCGGCCACGCGGTCTTTTGACATCCCGTGGAATCCAGTTGGTAATGGCTCTAGTGCAGCAGTCGTCTCCAAATCTCATTACCTGTCCAGCCCGTCTGATTTTCGACACCTTAGCAAACGAGACAGCGTCTATGATTCTTGGTAGTGGAGGTAGCGGAGGTCAATATTTCACTTATACACACAAAATCCAGAGTCCTTAGAAGAATCTGACCTTACAAGTCACAGGATCTGATTTGGGAATATAAGTGATTAAGAGATAGGGGAAGCAAAGCACAGAGAAGAAGTTAAAGATAAACACATAGGAGTGGGAATGCCTTGGGAGCACTGTGATGGGTATAACTCAATAAACCTAAGCTTCCTTTAGCAAAGGAGAAAGGACAGAGGAGAAAGGACTAACGACTTATCCTACAATGAAAATGTTCCTGTGATTTCTCTTGTGACTGAATTGAATTTGTATTATGTATTGGTTGGTATTGTCATTTTGGTAATGCTTAAAATCCATGAGTAGGAGATGGTTTTCATTTCCTTGTGTATTTTATTTCTTTCAGTTATGATTTGTAGTTTTCTTTTCATAAGTCTTCCACCTCTGCTGATAAGCCAATTCTAAGATCCTTGGTTTCTTGAGCCGCAATTATTAATGAAGCTGTTTTTTTAAATTTCTTTTTAATTTCATTATATATAGAAATGCCATAGATTTTTTCATATTGATTTTATAACCTACTACTTTGCTATACAAGTTTATAATTTCTATGAAAGTTTTTTGTAGTCTTGGGAGTTTTCTAAATATCATATCATGTCATGTCTTCTAAAGATAGTGATATTTTGACTACTTTTTCTGCCTGTGGATGCCATTAATATATTTTCTTGTCTAATTTCTATAGCTAGGACTTGCAGTACTATTATCATGAATGGGTGTTGGATCTTATCAAGTGTTATCAAGTGTTATTTTATCAAGAAGTCTCTGCATCTCTAAGTATTATGTAATTTTTATTTTTTTATATTGATATTATGTGGTGTATTCGATATGCCAAATCCAGTAAATACTATGGGTCTCATTCCCCTGACCCTGAATACAGCAGCGTTGAGAAGGATGTGGAAGGAGAGGCTGATAAAATATCAAGGCCAAACTAGGCTGCCAAAACGAAGAAAGACAAAAATGACCTGTACCTTCAATGCACATACACAGGCATCAGATGCATCCATCAAGGACCTGATGGTACAAGCGCAAAAGATCAAGTATGACATCATTGGTTTGACTTAGACAAGAAGGCATCAATCAAATCATGCTGTTTTTGACACTGGAGAAGAACTGCTCCTTGGAACATGCGACAAAAGAGGCGTTGGTGGTGTCGGTGTACTTGTGAACATGAACTTAGCCATGAGCATCGATTCATTCAAATGCCTAACAACTCGAATCAGACAATTACACTTGAATAGATGTGGCTCACTGCTGGCACTTTCTATCTTCATTGTCTATGCACCAACATCAAATTATGATGAAGGAGAAATTGAGAAGTTCTACATGGAGCTGGAGAAGTACTATAAAGAAGACCACACCTTCTACAAGATTGTTGTCAGTGATTTTAATGCCTAGATAGGACCAAGAAGATCAGCCGAAGAACTCCACATCGGGACCCATGGCCTAGAATGGAACGAA